TTTACAGTGCTCGTACGTCTTACAGGGAACTACCTTATGGGATGAGGAAAGATAATGAAGCACAAGGCAAGATATATAATCTTATGTCTTTTTTCCTAGTGAGAGCTTTCAGGAGTAATGGTGAAAGGCAGTTCACAAAATGTCATCCATTCACACTTCATTACTTGGAAGGTAAGTTGTGCAAGAGCAGAGGGTGTGTAGGATAAAATCAGGCCCAAATTCAGAATCCCTTTTACTGTTCCTCCTTGGAAGCTCAGTGGCTTTGATTTCACTTCTGCTGCAGAGAGGTAGATATCTCTGCTTCCTCCTTTGCAGTATTATATGACAGCAACATATTTCAGCTCAATCAACAAATTTCAGTGTCAGCAGCAGGTGACAGGTTTCTTGTTCTTAAGATTGTCCTAATGACACTTTCTGTTGCTGTTGCTTAGGTTTATGTTTATGCAAGTGCTGTGAATGTGAGGTGTTAATCAGCAGCTCTAATTACTAGGGTGGAATGAACATTCTAGGATTGAGTTCATTTGGTTTTCATAAACAAGGTTTACCTGAGGCTTTGTTCACACAGAAATGAATTCAAAATGATAGAAAGCCTGCTTTAGTGCCTTGAAAACATCTTTAATCTATGTGGTCCCTTGTTGATAATTTTAGGCGAAAACTGGATTTTCTTCATCAGAAGAAAAAGGGAAAATTAATAGTCACCGAGACAGAAAAAGCTTCTTGAAATTAGTTTAATTCCTATGTCATTTGAGTAGCATCTCCTCCACCAATAGTTTTGGGGTTGATGAAGATTTGGAAAATCTGGCAAGCTAATGGCCCCAGAGCCTTGGCCACTCTACAGTAATGAACAGGGGAAAATGGTCTTTGGAAAAACTCCCATGGATATGGAGATTGAATAGGTATGAAGAATTTCTGAAAAATTAAAATCTGGCACAGCTTTTATGGTCTGTGATAGAGAAATCACACTATGTGTTCGAAAAAATTTACTAATCTGAAATGTATTTAAATGCCTTTCTAAAATAAAATTCAGCTTATTATGAACGTGATGCTTTAATGATTATGTAGGAATTCACAGAAACATTTTTTGTAAATGCAGCATCTATATTTTGCACATTAAATATAATTTAGATAAGGATTTATTAAATATAATTTAGATAAGGAATTATTAAATATTTCCACAATGTCCATATAGTTGAGAACATATTATCTCCAGATATGGCGTTTAGTTTCAGAACTATTTCAATGACTTAGTACATGAGAAGAAACAAGTGTATACTGAAATGGATGAAAGAGTAAATCCCAAAGATTATAAATATGTTACTAAATATTTGGGTGGGTGGGGGGGTGTGATTATCATATTTAATGCAATCAATAAACACTACAAACATGTAAGAAGCTTTACATTTCCAGATTGCTAAAAAAAAAAAAAAAAGGTACAGTTTTTTTTCCTTTATTGCTTCCAAAATATGAAGAAAAGCATGGAAAGGAAGAGCTTCCAGGAACTAGAAAAACCAACCATATTTTCTACATACATCCCGGCATGTAGAAAATACAATCAAGTGCTGTAAATGACTATATTTATAATGGATTGGATTCTCCTCATTATCCCATTTGCTATGATTTTAAGTCTGAAGTGTAGGCAGACTAGACCTGGATATGATAGGAAACCTACAGGAAAAAGATACTTTCCTTTTGTTACAGGAAGAGATTTGTCACTGCTCTCTACCTTACTTCCCATTTTAATTTTTCAAATACATTCTCAGCATCTAACTGTGCAGAACCATAAATCTCTTCAAATCATTACCACCAGTTACAGATCTGCTTGTTCTACCAATCAGCATTGTATAAAAAGTGGGTATCATATCCATATGAAAATGAGTATGAATAATATCCAAATCCAAGCTATTTATTGCTATTTTTACTTCCTTAGTGTTGAAGATGATAGAGAATACCTTACTCTTACTATGGGGTTCTATATGCTTCTCCTACCTTGGCTCATGTGTTAAAAGGGGTTTTTTAATCAGGTAAATAAGTAATCAGACTTATTCTTTTATACAAATTATTCAGATGATGTAGCATTATGTTTGCAGAGCAACTACTGCACTTAGATTTTATTCCAGTGATTGAATTCCAGGACAAAAGTTCATTCTCTTGATCCCCTGTCCAATTATCCCACGGGGTTTATAAAGCACTATCCTTCAGAGTTTCAGTTTAGCATCATTGGCATCCATTCTTTGAATATTGTCTTCAGATATGTATTACACTTAGGCCCACCAAGAATACTTGGAAAACATCCTTTCCCATACTGGCAGCTCAAGGTCTCTTTCCAAACCGTCACAAAAGAGCTAGGAATCTTCCCAACAACCAGAAAAAACAGAAATATTTCACTCCCTTTTCTACTCTGGTTTTACAGTATTCAAAAATATTCATAAGATTTTTTTTACCTGATAAAATTAGCATGACCTTCACTTCAGAGTAGAAGAATTCTTATAATCACGTAACTGTTTAAACAATCTACTTCCTCACATGCTGATAGTATTGAATGAGCTTATATATGTTATCAGAATAAAGACAAAAGAACAGACTGTGAATCATAAGTCCCTATTAGCACCACATCATGAAAATATCTTCTTTCACTTCTTCCCTTTCCACTCTTCCAACTCCAAACACCATTCCTTATTCTCTCATTACCTTGCACTTTCCATTTGAGGATTCTATGCATTTTGTATTTAGTACATTAATCTAATGGAACTTCAATTAATTTTTAGTATCGTTGACATTATTTTAATAATTTTTCTATTAAACAGAAGCAATAAAAGAACAAATAGCAAATTATTTGTCACAGTTGTGAAAGAAGACAAATTCAGGTATCTTCTCAGAGAATAAGCCACGGTCTTCTGCTAGGAATTACCTTTCTCAAGAGACTTATCCTCTAAATGACTTCCTTCAAAGATCACTCTCTTTTTCTGCAGCTGATTCTTCTTTCACATAAAGTAATGACTGGATGTCCAGAGAAGTTCCTTTCTCTTTATGGTTCCATAGTATAATATTCTACAATTTATAAATGCCTTTATATTAATTAAAGGTGAAATTACACATTAGAACTGCCAAAAGAGAAAAACTGACCTTCACTTCTGCTTCATGCTTCCTCATTTTCCTGGACCTTGAGTTTAACAAGTTCTGCTTTGAGTTTATTCAACTTGCCAACCTGGTAGAAAACTAAACCAGCAAAATGAATGTAAAAGTTTTCTGCCAGATTGGGGAGTACATTTGGTGCAGTGCAGGGTTCATAAGTGTCAGAGCTGATGAAAAAGGGATATTGAATGCTACTGGTAGGAAGTTCTTTTGCATGTGTGTATCTCCTACAACAATACAGTTTTAATGTACTAATTTACTCTCACCCTATATCTCCCTTTAAACTGAGGTAAATAGTAGTATTTTCCTGCAGAACAAATAATTTCCACATTTGTTTTTATGTCATTTAAATAAAATAAATTGCAGTTGTTAAGAGAACTTGAAGTGTGACATATACTTTTATTTATACATTTTTTTTTCAGCCAAAGGCAGATGAAATTCTTCTAATATTAATTTTAGGATTTTGCAGTGAAGCCCTGGAAGATTGATTATAGCAAGCAGTTTCATTAAGAACATGTCCTGCACCTGACATAATTTATTTTGAAGAAGTCTGAAGGAATTTAGAACAGAAATCACACTGAAAATTATCGTATCTCTGTTCAAAACAAACCAAAACTGTATTTAAGAACTTGCTTCCAAGAACATAAGGTGTCTAACTATGTAGCTAGATGACCACTCATCTCCAAAGATGTTCCAAAGAGCAAGGTGGATGATATTCTGTTATCAAGCCAAGTACCAAGTGGGCAAAGATAATGCCTAATTTTAAAATTCCTTCATCAGTATAATTAAAGGATTAGAAAAGGATTAAAAAAATATAAGTATGAAACATTTCTGTAGGGATCACAAAAGTATTTTCTAATATTTCCCTTTCCAAGAGTTTTGGGTCTCAGAGTAGTCAGAAACTAAGTTTCTGTAGCTTAACCTGTTAATGCACATCAATTGATACATGTAAGAAAACACCATCTGTGCAATCTTATTCATGTCAGTTGTGAGGTAATTCAACTTAAAATTCTTTCACTGAATAAACACATCAACAGGCACTATAATCATAGCTGGAATGCACATAGTAACTTATAAAACAGAAGAAAATTCACTGTGACTGCACTCATAAGGATTTTCAGATGTTTACAAAATATCTGATATTGCATTGTGATGTAATTATTTTATTCTTAGTTTCTATACAGCATTATATACATAGAGAAATTCCAGGCCAAATGACCAGCTAGCCAGTCAGACAAAATACAAGCTCCGAGACTGCGACTCCCACAATCACCAAATTATTATTAATGTAATTCTTGAATCTGATAATTTTATTTTTCTCTAAACTGAGTACAGTATTAGTGACTACAGCTAGCAGAAGATGAACAAAACTATATTAGTAGAACAGTATGTCTAGTTTCTGATTGTAAGACATCTTCAAGTTACACTAGCAGTTCCAGGAAGTAATATGATAATTGATGAAAGACAAGACACTGGGGGAGACAGCTTACATTTTCTTAAATGACAAAGGTATCTTTATTTGATATTTATTAAAAGCAATTCAGATGTTCCTAGGTGAATTTAGACACACATATATATAAAACACATCTAAAAAGTGTTCACAAAATGCAGTTCTGCATTCTCATGTATAAGCAGTTTCATTAATATAAGGACTGTTCTATGAAAATGCGTAATTCAAATTAATTAAATTGCATTTAAACAGACAAAATAACTAATCTAAAGCAATTGATATACATGGACAAAAAAGATGAAAACATTTTCATATTTTTAATTATATCTTTTGCCCTATCAATACGGTTCAATAAACTTTGCTGAAAAATTTCAGAATTATTCAAACCTAAACTGCAAGACTAACAGGTCTAATATACCTATGAAAACAGAGTGGAAAGCTATCTCCAGAGCTGATAGGATGGTGCAGTTTTCAGGAGAGCTCCTCAGATATCTCTCTTGCATCTCTCTGGAAAATAATAAATAATTTTAAAGAATATACAGCCTATATTTCCTCTTCTCATTCTCTTTTTTATTTTCCTACTTACACATAGTCTGTTTTATCTGCAGGATTTTGATGACTTGTCAAAGACACTCTGATGTATTTGGAGAAACATTGCCCCAGCAAAAACCCTCATCAAACAGAGATAACAGATGGAAATGAGGCAAACAATTTCCTGATCTAAGCAGGCAAATTCAGGATTTGGTTTACAGTAGAGGGAGATGGGACTTTTGATAAATTCACCCACTGCATTCTTGTGTGAAAGCTTGACATGGGCTCTCCCAAAGTGATTTAATTTTCATTAGCACAGTATTGTTAAATGAAACATGCAGAATATGCTGGTCCCCAAATCGTCTGTGTATGAAAACAGCAAGAAACAAGAAATTTCCTAGGAATTAAACTTCCACTTTATTATATCAATCCTCCTCACAGACAAAATTATGTGTCTAAATTTTTATATGTTATGTTAAAATTTTGTTCTCCACTTAATGAAAAAATATTGGCCGCAGTGTGTACTTGCCTTGACTTATTTTTTTAAAGGTCTTAGCTTTTTAAAGGAGAAAATAGAAGCTCATTGTTTTGCAGAGGTTTGGTATCTGTACTGTAACTTTTTTCTTTTAAGAGTATCAGAAGAACTTGAAGAGAAAATTGTCTAATTGCTTTTATATTTTGTGCCTGATAGGATCCATACCTGGATCTGATATGTGTGTCTAAATTTCTTAACCTTACTGCTTCTGAATTGGTTCTTATATCTGCATACTAAAACACTTCATCTTATTTTGAGATATCTGAGCTTGTTGATGGAGAACATGTCCTGGGAGGAGCAAAGAAAGGCCATCAGAGAACTGAACATGCTTAGCTGATTCTATCTGAATTTTTAGGCAAAGCTAAATCAAAACCCAGGTCTCTGAGCCTGGGTTTGAGAAGCGAGCAAGCAAGCACAAAAGATATTGCAAATTAAATTCACACTTCTGAAAATATAGTGGGTTTATGTAAAAGAGTTAAACCAGAATATATCTTTTTTCCTGTTGACTTTTCAAGTCAGAATGAAAGTACCTGAGGGATTTATTCAAGACCTGAATTTACATAAAATATAGCAATGAAAAAGGAGAGTAGTTTTAAAGTTCTTAAAAATTATAAAATAACATTTATTATTGAATTGGAAAACCAGTGTTCCAAACAGTGAAATTAATGTGTACCAGATAAAAATATTGGTATTCTTCATTATCATTCCTAAAGCCAGAAAACCTTTTCTTTTTGGAATTTCTGAACTGACACAAATGTCTTTAAAAAGGGCAATTAGTGACAAGTGACTATGAAGAACCCTGTGTTGAGAAGCTGAGCCTAAGCCTCTTGAAGATTCTCCATGTAAACAAGTCAGACCACATCACTCATTATCCCTCTTTTGTTTACTGGGAGAAAAGTTCAAACTATTTAATGAGAGGATTACCCATACTTCAACTCCATTGAAAAAGATTAATTGATATTTTCCTGTTAGGGATTTAACCACTTGGATTTGGCCTCATATCCCCCATTGTTACTGATGCTGTGATCAGCAGAGCAAAGTTGCTTAAAGGTTAGACAAACTTTGCAGCATAAATTACACAAACTAATTTATGTTAAAGTTTGGTGAGCCTCCAAGCCTAAAGAGCTTCTATTAACTCCTCAGGTGTTCAGAAAAAAATAGCTTCTAGAAAATAAGATTATTTACAAAGAAGTACGTAATCTTTATTCAGAATTTTATAGCATGTTAAAGCATTTGGATTCAGTATAGCAATTGTGTTACTGTAAGAAAAATATGCAACATTCAGAAAAGTCAGTACTACTAGTATTATTGACATTTCATTTTAATGTACTTGTTTTCTAATTACATTTCGGATGTGGAGGGAGCAGGGCCATGAATCTGAAAATATATTTTTTCTTCAAAGCTTTAAAATTTTCCAAAAAATGAGTATCTTGTGGACATATGGCTGCATATTTGGATAACACCATTTGCATTTTCAAACTTGCAATATTTTTAACCACTCATTTGGCTTTTGCTTTCAGAAAAGCAGACAGTTAGTGCATTCATTTGAAATGATTTAGTCTCTTTAACTCTTTAAAAAGACAAGAAAGGAAAGTATATTCATGAATCATTTAACATATATATTTGTATTTATGCTTGAAAATGTAAACTGATAATCTGATATAGATTTATTGAGTAAAAAAAATCAAAGATCTTGTAAATATTGGATATTCATAGATATTGAGGAAAGTAACACCATAAAACACATATGATTTAAAGATAAAATGTTGGCATAAGAGAAAAAATGGAAACAGTTAACCTAAATGGAAGCAGTTATGACACAATTACATAGGCTTTGATCCTACAGAGAAAGTATGTTTCAAATAAAACTGGTGGAGATATCATCCCTTAAAAAACAACATTCCCCATTCTTCTAGTGCCTATTGAATATGCAGTATTTCCAATTATTTATTCTGCTTTAAAAAATATTTTGACTCTGTATTCTGTTCAGTAGTGGCAAAAGTATGGTATCTACTAATAAAAAACCCAAGATGATTGTCAAAAAATATCTTCTCCAAATTACAAAATAGAATTATTTGCAAAACCAACAGATGAAGGAAATGAGAAAATGTCACAGGTCCTTACAAGATAGAAGACTATATCTTAAAACACACTGCAAATGAAATGGTAAAGAAAAATTAATAATTTTAGTTACTTTTAAGGCACATAAAAATATATATTTAAAATTTGGGTCATTTTAGTTTCTCCAGTTATAAATTATAGTTTTAAAAGCCTTGGGATATAATGTCCAGACGTTTGATGAATAAAATAAAAAATTGACTCACTTTCAAAAGTTGGTGTAGACAATTTCAGCTATTTCAGAGTATTTATCTTCAATGTACAGATTCTAAACTCTATATATGCTAAAATATGCAATAGACTGAAATTTGTAATATTGTGCATACATTTGGACATATTGCAGACATATTTGGACATATTGTGGACATATTTGGAATATTTCAGGTTTTTTCTTAATTGACATATTATATGGATACTTATATTTTCAAGAAACAGCAATCTGTTTCATTTTGAATTATTTTTTTAATGTGTATATCTAATTATTACTTATTTATTAATTTCAGCAGAAGTTTAATTAATTAGCAGCTGATGCAAAGTATGACAAAAGTAAATACAAGCACTTACATTACTTCTGATACTGAACAAGTACAAATTTTATTGACCCTAATCCTGACAAATGTAGTTAACCTTATTGATTAACTCAAGCACTGAAATAGAGTGAAAAATGTTTTACCACAAGACACTATAGTATGACCACTATGTCAGCTATTTCAGCCTTCACGACTTAAATGCACAGCCTACATTGAACATATTGATTTTCCTAAATAGTCCTCCTATAATAAATACTAGATTATCACTGCAAGTCTCTGCAGACATGTTAGGTGATCACAGAATGGAGCTGTAATCAGAGGCAGTTCTGTGAAAGATAATCTTTCTTTATTCTCCTCCTCTGAGAAATTAGGTACAGAGGAAACAAGGGACAGCAGAAATCACTGCAGTTGTTCCTATAAAATCTGCTCTTAGATTATGAAATATGTCATCTTAACAGTTAAGCCTTCATCCTTCCGAAGGTAAAAGTTTTCAGATATGTGTATAAATATACTTAATATGCTTTCTGGTTTTGAAACTACTCTAATACTATGTTAATGTTTAAATTATTTAAGGTGTAGCTGAAAAACACTTATAAAGACAAAATAGCTTGTATAAAATGACTCTAATAAATCTTCTTTTTATTTAAAATAAAAAAAATCTATATATATAATTTTTTTTAATCTGGTTGTTTGTTGGTTACATTAGAGGTAATATTTTTGATATCTTGACACAGGATTATTTTTAGAATACAGTTTTCTTTTTTTAAACACTATGATTAATAATTAGGTCTGTTAATAAAAATAAGACAAAAGACTCTAAACCATAACATTTTCTAGCCCTTTTTCATTTTTTTTAATTTCAAATGTACCTTTATTTGCTATGAAAGACAAGACAAAACCAGAAGGAACACAAGACTTTAACAAAACAGAAGACAGATGTCCAGAAATTATCAATTGCTAAAGCACACAGATTGTGATTAAATTTTAATGTGGCTTTTAACTTAAGTAAAGATTTTGCTTATTGAAGAGAAAGAATCCCAGAGAAAATATTGTTATTGATTTCATCATTTTAGATGTAATTGATCCCTTAAGTAATTTTTCTTGGTTTCAGTGTCAGTTTTTAAGTGTCTTCTTAGACTTAGGAAATCATTAGAGGACATGTTCATTTAAAATTCTAAGTCTAATGCATAAATTGTTCTCCAGTGGACTCAAAACCACATCTGTTGAAAACAAAACAAAGCATTCAATGCACTGAGTAAAATCAAAACATTACAGTAGAATGGTAAGAGAGAGTTAAATTAAGCAAATTAAATGGTATGAAAAAGTTTTTGATTGATTTAGCAAATGATTGTATGCTTTTAAAAAATATATTGATTATCTTTATTGCTTTGAGAGAGAAAGCATAATGTGTACTACGACAACATGACAGTCTCACATAGGGTGTAATACATGAATTGTGCACATTGCCTTTTAGTGGAAGTGTATCAGGACAGAGGTTGCCCATTTCATATAAGCAAGATGTAGTGACTCGGTTTGTTGATTTTTTTAAAAAAAACAGAAAGTGAATTATTATGTTACCACACTGATAAAGATGCAGTCCTTATTGTTCTGTCAATAAAATTAATTGCTAATATTGAGGAGCCATAATACCTACTATCATGTTCTGATATTTCATAAATATTTAACCGTGTAAGACTCCTGAGGTCAAAAGGGCTAATTCCATTTAGTTTCCTGAATAGTCATGCAAACTTGACTGCTTAGAAAGTGAAGTGAATAATAATGACAGATATTTA